AGTAACAGTCTGCAGTCTCCTGGACCTCCCTGGTGTTACAGGATAATGAGACAAACGTTGGTGCAAGCTTAAGGCTTTGGGTATCATTTAATCATTCACAATTAAAGGATATTTCTTTTCCTTCTAAAAAATTACTACAATGTGTAAAATTGGCACATTTCTTATCCAAAGAAAGGTAAAATATACAAAATAATTCTTCTCATCAAAAAATTGATTAAAACCATTTGCTTCAAAATGTGAAGTGAAATTTAAAAAGTGAAACTATATAAAGAACATTTTGCACTTTCATAATTGATCTAGGACCTGCTGTGAATCTGCCATTGAGCACTGATTTGTAACACAGTTCATTAAATGTTAAGGAAACATCATTTAAATATTGTTTACTCATCAGTTCAGTTCAACATATCAATAAACCATCACTTCAACTACATGTTTGCAAAATTATAAATATTCTAATTAGTATAATATATTTGTAAAATAGATATATACAAATATAGTTATAGTTATTAATTAAATTAAAATTTTAAAACTTACAAGGCAGTAAAATATAAAAATGGAAGCCTTATTAAAAATAATTTTTTCTTCTCTTCCTATCCTTTCACATTGCACATATCCTCAACACTGCCGGTTTCTCCTGCAAGTAAAGCCTCTAATAACTATAAAATTAAGATTTTTCGTTCTAAAGTGCCAGTTTTTGGAGTGTGAATGAGCCATTTTCTCCAGAGGGAAATACACAAACAAAAGACAAACAAAAAGAGGTAGGAGATGATCATCATCACTGTCATTTTGCACCCTGGTTGTACTACAAAGTTGAACTTCTTAAGGTGGCTTTTGGTGCGTCTTCAAGAATGCGAACAATTGCCCCTTTATTGTTATTTATTGTTTAGGTTGCTCTTTTCTGCATCCAGCTACGGCACATCAACCTGTTTGCCTTTATATGAATAATGGAATGCAAATATATTTTTTGACAAACCAAAGTTAGATTAAATTTTCATGCTTCATTTCAGCTATACCTTAAAATGAAAAGTATTACAAACATTTTTCTGCATGTATCACATAATTTTTTTTAAGTGATCTCTGTAAGGAAATGGATATCTCAATATTTGCATCTACTTGTTTTATCTTTTATTTAGTTTTACTGTCTTTTATCACTATTATATTTAATTAATATCTCTTTGCAAGCAATATTAGTGTTGGAATAGTTCTTTATTCTTCTGTTGTTTACTGTCTCCAGAGAGTCTAATTATCAATATTCATTTTTTGTACTATCATTAATAACAAGCAGGAAAAGGTGCAGACTTTGGAAACTATACTAGTGAGTGGTGGATATCACTTATTGGATTCAATCTCTGTGAACAGTAGTGTTTTTGAGATGTGCTTATGACGAGGTTGGCTTCCCATTCAATAATGTATCAATTCTCATCTCATCCGTAATCATTCACCTTTCATTATCATCATTCATCCTCATGGCCACTCCTCCCACCACCACTGTGCTCATTAGTTCAGGAAAGGGAAGGGCAGACAGATATAAGCCTCCTCCCGTATTCATACTTAGGGGCTGATCATTAGGATACTTCATGAGCACAGGTCTAAAAGGAAAGTGATATTTCATCTAAAGGAACTGCACAGATTTAGCAACAACCTTTAGTTAAATTTTTCTTGCTAATTTATTCATCACTTTTCATTTAATATTTTCTCTTGTGTGATTTTATTGACATCTTAGCATTTTGGAAAGTGAGAGAAACAGGCCTTTTTCATCTGTCACTCAAAGAGCACATTTTTCATTTTATTATAGATTTTTTGCAGGGAAAAGGTTCACAATTTTAATTTAAACCTTGCATCTTAAAAAAAATATAATAATAATAAAAAAAAGCAATTTGTCATAAATGGAAACAATTTAATCAGAAAAATTAAAATATTTTGTGCAGAATTACTGTGATTCTGCTCACGAGTTAAAACAAAACAATTATTGATAAATGGAAAGGTAAAGTCTAGAGGCAACAGGAAAGTAAAGGCAATAAAACTGTTTCTTTGACATTCAATATATAAATTTATTTCCTATAGATATATTAAAAGGCACAACATGTGAATTAATATTATAAATTCCTCTTAGTTACTTCATAATTTTTTCTTGGGTTGTATGTTGGAATAAAGTATGATGAGCTGATGAATTTCAATCTTCTGAGAAGATTTTATAATTATTGATTAGGTATTGAAAAATAACATTATCTTCAATGTATTGTTAGCAGTACTGTATTTTCTTCTGCTTCTTCTTCACATTCATATTTATAATATGATATGAATTCACAACTTTATACACACACACTCACACTCACACTAGTTAATTTTGTTCATGAAAAGAAGTAATATTCTTGTAGCTTTTTCTTCTATTCACTGGGAAGCCACTCTTCCACATTCACTTAATTTATCATTCCAAACAGAAGAGCACAAGAACCTTGGAATTCATTTCTGTACACATTTCATTCAAGTTCACAAGTTTTTCTTTGAATTTCAATTTAGGCTCCTAACGAAGATAACTTAAACTCTTAAGAAAGCATTTGAGAATTATTGTTGAATCCATGGCAAATACACATTTTAATAAAGTAATAATAAATAAAAACTTGAAATATTTCATGTTTTGATATTGACATATTTGTTGATTAAATTTTTATGTTTAATAGTTCTTGATGAACGATGGCAGCATTTTCACATTTGATGTCATGAAGTGCAGATATTTTCATATCCAAGCGTAATAATTTCCTGATTCATTTGTCAGTAAACAAGTAGCATTACTTCTTCGTATGGAAATTTATTGAAAGTAGAATTGCGAAATTTTCTTCTATTTTGTTGCAAAGATGTATTCAATATCATGAAATATATCTCATGAGTTTTGAAATAGAATAAAACTTGGATGTATAAGGGTACGTAACAATTTGTTACATATTGTTGTAGTATGTCAAAACATCAGAATTGTCAAATATATAGCTCATGAATAATGTTTTGTAAGTGCACCAGTTTCACGATGAATATCCATGAAAACTCAGTTGAATGATGATACAAACATTGAGGAAACAAGTGAAAAATATTTTAATAATCATTTTTTAAGAATACATTCTCAAATTTCTCACACACGAGTATTCAGCTTTCTACCTGAAATTCATTGAATCTCATACATCGGAGTATGTAATTATACTCTACATCTTTTGAAGACAAGGAACGAAGAGAACATTAACCAATATACTATATTAATCTTGTGAAAAGAAGTGAAAAGTGAATGTTAAAAACAATGCTTTCTAGCTTCTTGTGGATAATGTAGCTACGCAGAAAGATTTTTGTTTATTTCTTGAAAATCCATTCAGTGATACTATAATTTCCATTTCACAATAGCCCAAACACTGAAATAATATAATTGTCATTAAAATTAATGTTCTTGTGTTGTGGAGATATCCTGGAAAAATATGCTGATGATTGAACGGAAATGAATTTAATTCACCATTGCCTTAATGAGTTAATACTCATAATTACAAAATTATGTAATACAAATAAAGTATTTAACAATTCCTTTCTGTAAGTAGTGTGCAGATATTGATGGTTCATCTTCATGGTTATCTTTCATCTTCAAGCTTATTGATAGTGTGATTATTTCATATTTCAACCGATCATTCTTTTCAACACTCTTCTACACAATCACCTTGAGTAAAAAAAAAAAATTGTGAACTGCAAATATTATAAAATTTTTTTAAAAAGAGAAAGAACACCATCTTTATTTCCTTGTCTTTATGGCATAATTTGTAATCACATTTGTTTGTTGAGAACTAAGCAGTAAATATTTGACATTTTTGTTAAAATTTCTTAATTTGCACAAATTAATTTCTATCAAGTAATTTATTGGAAGAAATAAAATTTTTATCAGACAACTGCTATTTAGTACATTTTAGATTTCTTAGCAAGTGGTAAAACTGGCAATAAATAAATCCAACATTTCATTATTCAACACACTTTTTTCCATATTTTCGTGGAATTGATCTCTTTCAAATAGGTAGATTTTGAAAGTGAGAAGTAATCAAGTTATTAAATATTTTTACTAATTTTTACCAATAAAAGTATATCCTAAATGCAAAAGACCAAGTTAATAAATAATGTAATTAGTAGATTACTAATTTTTGATGTTGCACAATTTGTTTTCCTCACTCCAAGACCCATTTGGGTTAACAATATCTTCTTAAAATTCTTTGGTATCCTTGACTTTCAGTTTAATTGTGAAATATCATAAACTGTTTCCATTATAGAATATAATTATATCCAATTCAGTTAATATCATATTTATTATTTTCTCCAAATTTTACCAATATTTTAGAGATTTCAATATACACATTTCCATTTTTTAAACATGTATTGTGTAATTCCATTCTTTTCATATTTTATTTTTCATCTCTGGGATCTATCACGAAGCACAATGGTTGCATTTTTTTACATTTTTGATCATAGAAAATGTCATAACATAAAGTTTTTTTCTTACAGGGAACTTCGCATTATAGTTTTGCATTACTGAATAGGTTCTCTGGTTCAAATAAATTTAAGTATTTTCTTTTACATATGTAAATTTTAATGTTGATATCAAATTAAACTTGTTTGATTTTGTGGCAACTTAATGATGGTATCTTGACCCACATTCTTTCTTCGTTTCTTCATGTAAAATTAGAACTTTTCATCATTTCTAATTTTGAAATAATTATCTTTATAAAGTATGTATGCAACATATACAACTTGTGTACATTATATTACCAGCTATTGATTGACAGTTCGTTGTGAAATGGATGTACTTTCCATATTACTGATAGAAGTGAACAATATATTTAAGCCCTCTTTACAGAGATGATTAACTCTACTTGATGTTTATGAACACTGTCAAGTTGTACATTTGAGAGTCAAACTGGACATTCAATTATATTTTGACAATATGATTAGGGTTTGACCTACAAAAAGAGTAAAAGATTTTTGGTGTATAATTAATTTTATATATTTGCCTTAATTTCCAGAGTTTCTTCCATATTTCTTACATTAATTTACATAATACATTTAAAATGAATTACATAATATACGCAAATGAAATAAGATCATTTATGAATAATCTGATATTGTTTGACATGTCAAGATAAATATGAGTAACGCATGTAAATATTTCCAGTTACATATTTTTTCCACAAAGTCCAGTAGACACAAGTTTCTTTCTTGACACTGAAGTTCCTTCAAACAGATACAGCAAAATTTGTTTTCACTTTCCTTCACAATACTTCGTTTTAGAACTTCTCCCCTATGCCAAGAAACTTTCAGCTGACATTGCAGATGAATCAACCTTGTAGCACACACAATATGCACTTGTGATCACCTTAAACTCACAGTTAATGGAGATTTATTTGGAATTATTTTCTTCTTCTTCTTATATTATTTTTCTTAATACACACATTGAAGAAGTACAGTCATCCATTTAACATCAAAATCTCTATGCATAAAATAAGTGCTATGTTATTTTCACAATGTTGTAGATCAATATTTCATCTACTAATTGTTCTTTATAGTCTCTGGTCTGACGATCAGTTAAAATGTCTCAATCGGCCGTCCAGGTAATAAAAATATATTGCCAAATTTATTTTTCTGAATTGAGCTTAACCAATGTAAATTCTTTGTTTGTTTTCATTGTCTAAAATGCACTGCACATAACACTAAACACTGTCCTTACAGTCACAAGTTAGTCAGTGCACACATATGTCCTTGCTTATTTGAGAGGTACATGTAAGACCAATATACACTTACTCAACACATAAATACATCACAAATAACGTTTCCATTTCATATTATATTGTACTGAATAGTTGTACATTTTGGAATGTACAATGTAAAATGAATGCAATTTGTAAAACAGATTCATATATCAATGTTTGAGGATTTTCCTATAAATTTAGTCAGAATTAATGAGGCTTAGGGAAGGATATTTGAAACACACAAAAATTTTACAATTTTGTCACATCAATCTTTGTCCCAAGATTGTCAGCACATTAACTTAATTATACAGTACCATAAAGCTACCATTAAAAAAGGCCAATAAACACTGCAGCTGACTCTGAATTCTATAATAATGTTATTCCAGACAAATGCTTTATGCACTAATCTTGATATATGTTCATTACAGTATTTCACAATAATATAGTTATAGCATCAAAGATTCATGGACTGCACTGACCATTTATTTGGAAGCTGTGGAGCTAAAAGATTATAAATCTAGATTATGTGAAACAAGTTCCAAAGGAAAACATGATTGGGAATAGACAGATTCAAAATACAATTCATCTAAGTAGGATGAAGATATGTGCATTATATACTCAACAGTTTTAGAAGTTAAATGTCCAATGGTCTTAATTGTTTATACAATGAATACACCATGTTGTCATTGCTGTTTACAAATATATAATCAGGAAATAGAATGTTTTCATCACAGAAGTACTTTTTCATGGCCATCAAATGGACACTAATTTAACCACAAACACACTCATGATACTTTGACACTGGGTAAAATCTAATTTTATTTCCCAGCATTCATACTATTATCACAACAATGTACTTTTTAAAGTTGATCACATTCTATTGTTTGTGTTTTCATGTCAGAACTAGGTGAACTGCTCTGAATGAATCTAATACTTGGAACAGATGGCAGAGGTCTTCCATTTGATACATTGCTTTCCCGTAATGTATCAGAGCAATCTTTAGAATTTCCATTCCACAAAGGTGGATTGTAAGATTCTTGAGATATCCTTGCAATATCACTAATGGGATAGTTGGTACATTCACATACATCTGTTTGACTAGAGACATGACTTCCATGCATCTGGCCTTCTAGCCTTGTGGGCATATCTGCTCGATACTTTCTCTTCTTGGATTTGTCAACTTGAGCATAGAGTGCAAGTACCTCTGCAGGGACAGTGCCATCACATAATTCTGATTCAGTAGGTTTTGAAGATGGTTGAAGGAACATCTTTAAAGCAGATGGTATTGATCGACCTTGCTTTCCTTTGGGTTTGTTGAGAGTTCCGACAAGACCATTTGGATGAATTAAATCATAGGATGACTCAGCTGCCAACTGTTGTAAACTTCGTACAGTTTCATACTCTGGATCTACTTGCGCATGGTCTGGTGCAGCATGGAGACGCATGGTGTCATAAACTGAATTTGGTGGTCTTCTCATTCTTTCTGAAACAATTCCTTGTTCAATTCTTTTCATTCTGTTAAAATGATGCTCATCTTCAATATCAGTTGCTACTGTTGAATTATAGCTGCTGACACTGGGAAATGACTGTAATGTGTCGTATTTAGAATGCTCCTGACCTTGTGTAAAGAGAGGAAGCATAGTTGTTGCAGGTACTGAGACTTTGTCGATAGTAGCACTGAGAACTTGTGGAGGAGCTGTTGTCACTGTTGCTGTTGTCGAAGTTGTGATTGATGTGGTGTTGGATGGTGCAGATCCAGTCCCATTATCATACATATTATCTTTAGTATTACCAATAATAAGGTCATTTGTGGATGACTGCAGTGTTGCCTCAACATTCTTTTTTGACTGGAACCTGAAATCAGTACAAGTATTTTAATAGTGAATGTTAAAATATGAAATACTACATTTGTCAGTTATCATTATGTACATTTCTATAAAGCACTTAGATTTTAAAGAAATTTTGGTGTTTTTTGTATTAGATTCTAAGTATAGAAATATAGGCAATAAAGGGGAAGCATAGTATATTGTTAGTCACATTAGTAAAATAATAGAAATAATTGAGAATGCATTAAAATATATGATTTCCATTAGTAGTCTAAGTATAAATTAATCAAGTAAAAAATGAGGACTAGCAATTCAGAGGCCTGTATAGTTATTAACCTATTAATAGTTGTACACCTTGGAAAAGTACCTTTGAGCTAATTGTTCATCTTTATTTTAATGGTAAAAAATTGGTTATGAGAGCATATTGTTTTTCTATGTAATAGAAATGAGCCCCTACTTCATACAGTCGCAGTCTCCCTTTCTACATTTTGGTTTCCCTAACTTCCTTCGATAATCGGAGGAGAACAATTTGCTTCAGGCCCAGAGTGTGCTGAAAGTTCCTCAAAGATTGTCTTGTAAACAATTTATACCAGTTCAAGATTCCAATAAAATTTATTCTACTGGCTAACAAAGAGATAAATAATTAAAGAGTATGGCATCCACTATAATGTACTGAACTATTCAAGAAATTAAAAGAAATTGTACTTCATAAATGAGTATATAATTATAAGCAATTACAATATGTAAATTTATATGAATTTGTTATAAGCTTTAAGGATATAGATTGATACTAATTTTATATATTTTTCTTAAAAATCCTGTTACTAGTGTAACAGCATCCCCAAGCACTTGTGGTATTAGAGGTGAGGAGTAATTCCAGGATTCTCTGACAGTCTCCTAACCAGGATCACATGGTGACTAGAACTCTTAACTTACATGACATCATGGAGCTTAATTATGAAGTTCAGTTACCAGCGCAGGCTCATGATTTACATTCAATATTTTCACTACAAGGGCAGTATGAGATCCTTATTTAAAACTAATTGCATAAAGATGTTAATGTCTACTTGGGGTTGATATCTAAGGGAATAAGTATTAGTTTAAGCCTGCTGCCTCCAAAGGTTGTTTTTTTAATGTAGTACCACCAAGGGGGTAATTCAATTACCCAAACAAAAGTTTTGAGAAAACAATTTATGGTGACATGAATATCTTTTAATTATTAATGCTATAAACAACAAAATATCTACAATAATATTTCTATTTGATACTCAATGCACGCATAGAGGGAAAGCATGATTATTTAAACTATGAAAATTCAAGACTACAAAAATTTGTAGAGAAAAGTGGTCTTGATTGAGACAAATGAAATAGGTAATTATGCCATGATAATTAAACAAATAATTTATCAATATTCAAAACACTGTTATTATTGTATATTTTCTGTGAATTTGCCACACAGATTTTTCTGCAAGTTATACACATGTACCTTGGTTTTCTATAGTGATTTATTGGACATAAAACAATATTTTCTTCAATTTCATTCTTGACGAATTTTGTTTAGGAGCTTCATTTCAACTCCTTTTTAACTTTACTCTATCAATATTAATATCAAATTATATAAATAATATCATTTATATCAAATATGATATAAAATTAGTTACATTTTTATTATAATGAGGAATGCTTTCCAATGAAAATATCAGTTCTGACAAATATGTTTCTATCCTCTTTTGTGTTCTAGTAAATTGGAGCTAGGAAATGAAATATTTGTTAAAAAACTATTACTAGAAAAATTTCATAAGTTGTATTTCAACTGTGAGCAGTTTGTGACACACGTGGTAAACATGTATCTATGGGACTTGTTTAGTAAAATTATGAGAAAAACTTTGGTGCCTTCAGAGAGCAACATAACATACTACATATGGAAAATTTCCTTCTTTAGGCCCTACTTAAGCCTACATTAATAATTCAAAATAACATCCATCCACGGAATATTTATAAACATTTATAAGCCTGTGGAGTCAAATCTCACCCCAAAGAGAATTTATGTAAGTAATGGAGAAACACATTCCAAGGGTTAAACTCATCTGACCCTTTTGATGTAGCTGGTTGATTTGTTATTTTATTTATTTATTTTCGACAAAAACAGTTTAAAACTGTGTGACATGCTAGTGGGAGAAGGGTATTCTGTGCACATTTTCTTAATTCTGTGATCCTTACTCTAACCCATATACAAGTTGGATTCTGAATACAGAAAGAAATGAGTGTTTGTGGCAAAAATTGATAAGAAAATATTTCTTCTGATGTAATAAAATCTATTTTCAAGGGAAAATCAGCTATAGATTAGAGATCTTATTCCTTGTCATGTCCTTCGTGAAGGAAAATGTACAACCTACTGCAACAATATGGATAAAGATAATTTGAATAACTAAATTTCCCATTGAACTCGAGAAGTGCACACATAGTGAAATTGCATTCATATCCAGAAGCAACACAAGGGGCCATCTCTGCATTCTCTGAAAGGATTAGGGAAATTGGACAAAAAATCTGATCAAGATGGGGGTAATTGTCCCAGAATCTGAGGTACAATATTGTTACAAGTTGTTTAGTATTATACAGACCAAAAGGTAAATAATACATTACAATACCATTGATAAAATGAATTTTACTTTCTATTTTGTTGCTCTGTATAATAGTCTCTAATTATATAGAAACATTTATGCAGCAGTAAAGATTTTACTTGACACTTAAACCTGTTATTCGAATTTAATCATTTAATGTTATTTGGCAATATGTTGTAAAATAATGTTCATATATTGTATGTGAATTTTGGATAGTGAGCTGTTGATACTATCACCTGATGAATATGTTTACTATGTTGAGTGTTATAGTTATAGACATCGGGGTTTGCTAAAAATATATTTCCACTCTTAAGAAAGACATTTTTGATAAACAACTAATTTGTAATTCAAGAGACAAGGTAACAAAAATTATAGATGATTAAAGAGAGGCTTACAAGAATCATGTGGGAAGAATTTGTGTATTCATTTCTACAATTCTTTTTTGTAATCTAAAAGTCTGGGAGCTACAAGATGTATTGCTCAAGAATATTATGCCATATCTCAGGTGGGAATGAACATTTGCGAAATATGCATGAGCAGTATAAAGGCTGACTGAATTGGTAAGAATTCTGAACGCATAACACAATTAACATAATTTTGTGTTCAATTCATTTAAATGGACATTCCATTTGAGGTATAACTGAGGTTATTTTGTGGCCAGTATACTAATTCTATGATTAGTCTGTGAATTTTGTTATAAAATGCTTTCGTCTACACTTCTTTTATGGTTTTTCCATTCCTTTCGTCCCTTCTATTAATTTCAAGGTAAAATTGGAGTTAAAAAGTAGATTTGCTTTGAATGCAGTGAAGAGAGTAACCAATCAAAGGAATGTAATGAAATATATCAAAGATGTTAAACAAAAGGAGGAACAGCAAGGACTGGTATATACAATTGAATGTTCAGAATGTTCAGAAGCAAACATAGGAAAAACTAAGGAGAAAGTTGAAGTTGAGATTGGCAGTATAGAAAAGAAATGTGAATGAAATCATTATTAACAAAATTCCCTGACTAATCACAGAATTAGTACAGGCCATAAAATAGATTTTATAAATGTGAAAATTTTAGCTAAAGAAATAGAAGGAATCATAGATTGGTTTTGGAAACTTTGTATATAAAGGCTACTAACTGTTGCAACTCTCAAGTTGAGTCAAATATTTTCATTAGACTTTATGATAGTTTATTGAGCAATTTTTAAATAATGTGATTGTTAATGTTTAGTTTTTATACAAAAAATCTGTTTAATATTACTTTTTTATGTTGGCAACTTTTGAATAAAAACGTTTCTTTTCTTCCTTTCTTTGACTTCTCCCTTTGACTGTTAGGGTAAAAAAATCTTATCACAATTGGCACACCATTCCAGCAGTATCCATAATGGCAGCTGGATTTTTTGATTCCTTATAAACTTTGGAGACTGCCAAATTCTCTTAAATTTATTTCTGAGTTTGAATTTTGTATAATATATAATAAGGTGATTTCAGATCTTTGTGTGTTGTATACCCTCATGTGTTTTATTCAGAATGTATAGTATTTAAAAAATGTGTTGTTTCTAGCCTGATGATGGGGAACTGAGCCTCGAAACATCACTTTGTAGAAATATTAATAAATGAATTATTTACTGCAATAGTTTATTCAAGAAACTGTTCGTCTCATGAATGGCCAAAGTAAATTTTCCTGACAGGCAAGAATTTTGATAACTATACCATTACATTGCCTCTTGATTTACGAATGTGTTTTAGTTTTCTAAAATGTGGGAACTCACTCAAACATGGGAATATATTTTCAGCTAATGCTGGTATCAATAACTATAACACTTGATGTAGTAATCATCTTCATCAGGTGTCAGTATCAAAAGCTCACTACAAAAAGTTCACATTAAATACATGTACATTATTTTTCAACACATTACCAGATAACATTAAACTTGATAAACAAGTTCAAGTGCTAAGTAAAATCTTTTCTGCCGCATAACTACTTCTATACCATTAGAGACTATACCGAGCACCAAAAAGGAAAGTAATATTAATATTAACAATGATTTTGAATGTGATATTGACTATTTGAACTGTGTAATTCTAAACAACCTGTAACAAGGATTGTACCTCAGCTTCTGGGTCAACAACGCTCATTTAGGTCAGATTTTTGGTTCTTTCCCTGATCCATAGAGCAAAAGCTGAGATCACTCCCTTGCTTTGCTTCTGAAAATAAATGTAACTTCACTATCTGTGTACATCTTTTAGAGTTCTGTGGGGAGTTAGTTATTCACATTATCATTCTCCACTGTCTCAGAGCATAAAGTCCTCCATGATTCCTTCATGAAGGGCACAAAGAGGGATAATAGCCAAACTCTGTAGCTCATTTGCCTCTCTAAATAGCTTTTATTACACTGGAGCGAATTTTCCTTAGCAATTTTTGCCAAAAATGCTCATTTCATCTGTATTCAGAATTCAACATGTATATGGGCTACGGCAAGGACCCCAGAATTTCAGAACACATGCACAGAATACACTTCTCTTTATAGCACGTCACACAGTTTTAAACTGTTTTTGATGAAAAATAAATAAATAAAATAACAAATCAACCAGCAACTGTTTTTGACGTTAAATAAATCAGTCATGAGATACGCTATGATGCTTAGAAATTAATAAAAAGGTTTTTCTTAGAGTAAATGGATAATAATGGCAGTATTCTGTCTACTTGCTAAGTGTCAACGCACAATGCTGTACAATCCAGTACAATCCAGTACTATGACTTTGATACTCTCACATGACCTTGAGCAATGGGTATTTCGTCTATGGTTATGATTTTGAACACAGTGCATGGAGAGGCATAAATAGAAGTCATACCCATACACCTCCTCACACTCAGAGTCGGGAGAGAGGGAATTCTACTACGGCCTACCCCTTGAGAGACAAGCGACTCCAAGCCCAAGTGAAGCCCCTCTCCTTCATTGTTCAACTGCCATGACTAAATTGTGTGACACAGTGATAGAGAATTTAAAGAGGCTTTCAGATGTATCTATTTTATTAAAAACGTCTCGCGCATTGCTGCTAATTGCATTACATCTGATAAAATTCCATTTTATAAATATTTTTTTCCTGCATGACATGAAAACCCACTCTGTTGCCGCATTGGGTATGTTCCTTTTTATGCTGTGTAACATGCCGTTCAACTTCAGTTTCCAGAGAAAGTTTCCAGTTAAGAAAGGTTTCTGGCTTGTACAGGTTCCGGCTTAGATTTTACAGTATATACATAAACATATATATACATACACAAACACACGTGTGTGTGTGAGTGTCTAAGGCTATGCTATTTATGAACTTGTTCCAATTTATATTTCTTTTATACATAGTCATAAAGGTGCGACGTGGAAATCTTGATAGATTTTGTATTATAGATATTGTACACACATTGTACTATTTCTTAATTAAGCAACGAAGCAACTATATTCCGGCAAATCTCAAATGATTTCTGGTAACTGAAAAATTATGATTTTTGTTAAAATGGTCAATATTATTGATGATATTTCATAAAGCAAGAAATAGCTGTGAGTGCTGTTTAAAAGTTAATCTGATTAATTTTTCAGCAGAAATGCTTGATAAGGTATTTATCCAAAACAATTAATTTTATAAAAAAAGGTACACATTAACAAATTTTCAACTGTTAATCAAGCTATGTACAACAGCATATAAACTACTTACGTTGATCAGGAGCATTTTGCAACAATATTACCATGCAAAGTTTCTGGAAGTAACACTTTACCTCTTAGCTAAAAATACTGCCAGTGTAATGAGACTTATGATGAGCAAACTACAGAAAATTCCAATAGAAATTAGCCCTGTCATTCCAATAAAGAAATCATCAGGCTCATGATCATCGCCAGTTTCTTCATTCCATTCTTTGCCAGTTAACTTTACAGGAAGATTACGATCTCCATCAGGTATACAGGATATGTTTATTTTTTCCCACGTGCCGCTGTTCAAACATGTTGTTGAAGTTTGAATCACATCTGCAAAAGAAAATATTATTTTAAAAATCACAATAGGTATATTACCTAGATAAATATTACAAGTAATTGAGCAAAGATAATACAAAAGATAAAATACCTGGTCCAAATGTATATCCAGATTTACAAGAATAGTTTACAATAGTATTCCAGTGCGTTGACTGATTTACTAATTCTACCTCAGAATTGGGAAAAATGTGTGGATAGCTGCATGAAATAGCTGAAACATTTTAAGAATACAACTTCTGCAATGTTTTGGCTCAATACATTAATTCTTTTCTAACCCCTGATTTCTACTATGAGGTATTTCCTTTTTTTTAGGCAAATTATGTATATTTATTAATATAATGAAGTCATTTAGGTAAATGGGTAAAATATATAGGAAGTTGGTTGAATAATTGTATTGCATCTTAAACCAATTGATTACATATGCATCTATAATACTGAATTTTGAAATGGAGAAATGATAATAGACAGTTATTGAAGAAATAATAAAAGATATCGTGAGAATGAAGTGTAGAGCAATATGTATCTGCAGCTAAGAATCACAATACCGGAAATATAGACTTCAAAATACATCAACAAATGCACGATTACCATACTTATCATGGGTCCAGAGAAATTCAGGGTTTGCTTCATGTTATTTCAAACATATTTTATTTGTTTACAAGAAGAAAATGTCTATTTTCAATATTTTTTCTTTAAATCTTCTTTGAGTGTGTGTACACATACATACATACAGGATGTCCGGGGAGGAAACGTCGAAACTTCCCGAATAAGTTCTTAAGACAATTTTAAGCACATTTTTTTCTAATAAACTACTGGGATATTCCGAGTGATTGATCCGAAATAAGCACTCAAACATTCGTTTGCAAAAATGCTTTCTAGGCAAAAATTTGCATTGCAGAAACATAGAGACCCTTCAGAAACATGTAATTTGTTTATTATTTACAAAAGAAATGACAATATTTGTTCAGAAAGAAAAATTAATCGAGAAATAAAAAGCTATGTAAATGTGTAAATTGAATGCTTTTTTTATTTCTGAGTTAATTTTTCTTTCGGAATAACTATATTCATTTCTTTTGTGAATAAAAAACAACATGTTTCTGAAGTGTTTCTATGCTTCTGCAATGTAAATTTTCGCCTACACAGCATTTTTTCAAACATACTTTTAAGTGCTTATTGCGGCTAAACTGTTGTGAATATCCCAGCAGTTTATTACACAAAATATGCTTAAATTTCTTCTAAGAACTTATTTTCGAAGTTTCGGCGTTTCCTCCCGGACAATCTGTATATGCCAGTAACTAGGTTCAACTAATGAAAGTAATGTGTAGGAATTGCTGGAGTATGACACAATATTTTTTTCGATTTCATGCCAGTTCAAATAAAAGCTGTGATGACACGTTATCTTGTCTTGCAAATAAGAAACGTAGTTCTCGTTGATGAAAAAGTCGATTTTTTTGCAAAGAAGAAACAGGGAAAAATGTTTCGAAAAATGATCATAAACAGGTCCCTATTAGAAAGACGCATGAGGGGGGGGGGGCATACCAACAATTGAGAAGGGTCTCCAATCGCATTGGCCTCACAGCCACATTAAGGCGTCTCAGAATGCATGTTACACTCTCCTAGGATACAGAGGGGGTCGAAGATGATTACTTGTTGTCAATGAATATATGGCGGAAAACTTCATACAGCAAAGTTGCACATATGACGTTTTCCCTTGGTGGATTAGTAGCTCATTTTACACCGGTGTTTGACAGGTCCATGGAATCGCTTTGTTTGGCCCGAATGTCCGCAAAACACCAGCGAATGAAGGAGTGCCTATCAATAAGGGCAGGTGCCACATATGCAACTTTCTGACATAAAATTTCGCACATTCATTAGCGTAAACTGTTTATCTGCGACCCCCCACATGCACTACTTGTTCATAAGTGTCTCGAGGAGTCGCCTCCGCTACAGCACTGGTAGGCCGAGGCCTTGATCCTTTTTAGTAGTTATCGTATTTTTACACTTGATGCAGGTACAAAAAAAACACTTTGCAGTAGAAGTTGCATGTAATTTCTTTTAATTCGTAAAAATCCGAAATTCCATGCCTTCCATCATCAGAATAAAGTTTTTTCATACTATGTATGCAAAAAGCAAATAAATTACATTGAAGATACAATGATACTATTTATAATTACCTTTATTCGGTAAATTTTTATTCATTTATTCAAATTATTTCTTAAATGCAAAAGCGCCAATTTTATACACTTTGGCTACAGAAATTTTACAATTATTGGTCACACAAACAAATTGTAATATTATAGGTCAATTATCAATTCAATTTCATTTTTCTCTGAATGAATGTTTTGAACTTGAAACTTCATAATGCTTTATTACATAAATTCTGTTCTTAGAACTTTCATGATGTGTTTTACGTGCATATCCATTTGCCATATTATACTTCATTTATTTCGAAAACAAAATGTACATGTGAATTTGTCACCAGGCACTAAAAATACTCATGTTACCAATCACAGCCAACATGCGCAAGGAGACATCTTGTTACTTACATCAAGTTACTATTACCGACATTGCAGAGAACCAGCTCATTGGTGAGAGTTCCGCTGCCAGACTTTCAACGCATCCGTTGTCCCGTGTACTTTGAGAAATGATGATGATCACCGTAGTATGAGAGATATAACGAGTAATGAGTTGCCACGATGGAGTAAACAAAAGAAAACCTGTCACGGACCCGCATTGACTACCATAAATTCCACATGGATTGCCCGAGAGCTGAACTCCTGTACCTAGGGATGGAAAGCTTTTAAAATGCCCTCCAAAACTAGACCTGAGTTGATTTGTTGGTATATCGGCATGATCACGCTATGGAAAGTACGATAGCCCGAGGAATTTAAGAATCATAAACCCACTAAATATTATTTTCTTAAAAAAAAATGTCCCCTTCAGACTACAACAAAGTAAAGGTACCATTGATATAAGTATAATTTTAATATTCAAATACAATTCAAGGTCTCATTTTATGAATTAAACATTATTATGCAAAACCGTCCTGTCCGTCCCTGCCTTTCTGGCTGCCTATCTGCCTGCTTATCTGCCTGCCTGTCTGCCTATACCGCTAGCAACTACACCGTTCAGCATATTTCTCCAAAATTGATATCTCTCAATCGATTTGGCTGTTGTCGCGGCCTCTTGAATTTGAATCCGAAATTTTAATTTTGGTGGATTCTTTACACGAAATCTCTGGGACATTTTCAAAATTTTCAAAAAAATGCTCCAGCAGTTTTTATTAAATTTTGTTGTTGGATAGTGTGAAGGACGTTTATGAAAGTGAAAGCGTAGGCTTCCGCGGCCGGAGCCAGTACTTGACTACCCGGAGACGCCGCGTCCAGAGCACAGGGCCAGGTGGCACCTGTGCCATGGATAACCGAATAACCAAGATTTACAGCCATGGATAACTGGATAACCGGATCTCCCAGAAAACCACGTAAGTACTGCCGTTTAAGAAAATAGTGTAGATCTCATGCTCATTGAAAACTCAGATTTTTCTGGCATTGCAAAAGTTCAACATATTTTTGGAATCTCTTCTACACCTAAAATATTAAAGATAAGAGATTTTTTTCTTAATAAAATCCGATCCTTAAAGATAGATTTTGAAATAAGGTCTTGTACAATTTTTCGAAAATTTCAGTACTTTTCGCGCAATTTTGCGTAAAAATACGGGCTAGAAAGTACGTACATTTTTAGCAAGACTAGTTACAGTTGTGGTAGAAGTAAAGCCGGTGTTTTGTTAGCAATACTTACAAATCAATTCGTTTACCGATGTCGTTACCGTTCGTTTTCTGTCACTCGAGAGCGAACATTTTTAGTTTTGTATCATTGCTAATCTCGCATTGTTGATAATTTTATTCATCATTCTACTTTGTATAATAAAAGACCGGGGAAAAAATTCTGGAGCTGAAGAAAACGTATGCAGACTGTAGTTATCCCGCATAAGTCATATGCAATTTTTAATGACGTTTCAACGAAAGTAAATCAAATAAAATATTAATACATCCTCAGGCCGAACCTATCACTTACCTTCACATTGAGGAGCGTGGCCTGCCCAGTGTCCATCTCTTTCACACGTTCTATTGGGCTCGGCCAAGAGCCTATATCCTGATACGCACGAGTACATTGCTGTGTTGTCCGTTGTCAACGTGACCATTCCTGCCACTGGTTCTTCAGGCTCTCCACAAGCAGTGCTTTCTGCAATTCAGTTTATGCGTTACTCCAATAAAAGTTCATAGGCTACTCACTGATTTCCTTTCCCTCCCTTACGAAATAACAAGAGAAATTATGACGGATGGAAGTTGATTTATGCCTTAAAGTGGAAATCGTCAAATATGTATTATTCAGTGAGATATGGGCTAAATACTTTACGTCATTTGCATTTTGAAATGTCAACTAAGGGCTTTATGTCCCATAATTAATATCTTTTTACAATCTTTACACTTCTATGTATTAATAATTATAATTTTTGAGAGCAGAGGGTTACTGGTCATGAGACAATCTCACCTCTGTGGGCAAACACTTCAACCTCGCAGAGAGCAAAGTAATCTTGATCCCTCCGATCGTCCCGAATGTAGATGTAACGGCCTTGGTGGCCTTGACCGTCGTGGCATGAGAAGAGAATCCGGGGCATTTGAAAACGACCTTTGAATGTGTAACAGGGTTTGTAAAGGGCTTCACTCTTGGATAACAGTTGAATGACAAATATAGTAAATTCCTGGTATATATCTGTAACAAACAAATATTCATTTTCAGCATTAACTCTAGAACTTAATATCGCCGACTGTGAGCCCATAGGTAAAAAAATTAAAGATTTCTGTGGACAGCAAAGACATAATTTGCGACAATTAGATCGTACTTAGTAACTATGGTGTTGCAACAGTTGATGGCATTTGCGAAACGGGCAATCTATTACCACGTAATATTGTTAAAAATTTACAACTATAACCAGGTGTTGAAATGGATGTTGTTACAGTAACAACAATAATAGTAATAACAAAAAACAAAAGGAATTTTATAGAAACTTTCTGGAACAATACCCACAACTATCTCATCTTACGGAACAGAATGTTGCTGATCGAAGAGTATCAATTTACAGGACTGGAAAGTATGTCTTCCGCATTCGAATACAGGAGTTTAAGGCCGAAGTCCAGGCAAACATTCAACGACATGAAGCTCCAAAAATAGATAGTGTAACCTCTGAACTACAAGCCCAAATTTTAGCATCCAACACAATGGCACGATCATTTCATAGGTCTCTGGCTGAGCCAGAAAATAGAATTGATGACGATGGCCCATTAATTGAACAGCTTAAAGAACAATATGAATTGAAAAGGCCAAGTATTGGGGGATTTGCTCCTCACTCTAGACCTGAAATTCCAAGGCAATACAATTCAACAAAACTGGCAACCTTAACTAAGTTAACAAATGAATATATACTTGCCAAGAAAGTCAGTTTTCTAGATGCCTTCCAAACGGGAAGTATTATTATTATTGTTGTTGTAAAACTATTGTACAATATTTCTTCCTAATTCTCGACACTTTTCTCCTAAGTGCAATTTTTTACATGTTATATAAGTGCAGTATTTTAATACGTTGTTTAATTAATTTATAGACTGAAATTCGTTTATTATTAATAAATATTGTTTAACATATTTTTAAGTTGTATTCGGTACCCCCCATGACGTTGGCAATATAAAACGCAGTTCCCTTAGTACAATACTTGGTTACAGAAAGGTGTTTTTTAAGGATGCACACACGTGAAATAAAATAGATAATCCATAAAGGAGACATTGTAGAATATTTTCTTGGAATCGTGCCAGAAATTGTGAATTATACAGTATTATCTATTTAAGTGAGCGCTCGCTAATAGTGTTCTAGGGTTAATATTCCTTCTTTAGCAACAGCATTGTAAATATACACATACCAGAAAGGCGGAGGATACATACGGAAACCAGAATGCCTAGGGGGAGGGGATTGCGAGGGGAGACAAGAGTGTGTTGAGGTAGGATGATTGATTAATTGATGTTTCCGGGCACGTCAACTGCCACGTCCATTAGTCCCGTTAGTGTGGCGAATGTTTCTACCCGGTGAGGTGGCGGTGTTTTCCCTGCTAAAAGGTAAGATTCGGCGTCTGCCTTTATGCCGGTTAAAGGAAGATTTCCTCCTGTGGGTAGCTCCTCCCAGTAGGAAACCGTCCCAGTCAGACAAGATCTAACCTTCTAAGCTCCCTACTGATCTCCCTGGGATGGTGTAGCTCATGTTTGTGTGTGTACGTGTAAAACAGGGGAATAGGAAAAGGAAGATCGCGCGCAGGTCGTGGGTCGTTGGTTGGGGGTACTACTCCGGCATTCGCCTGCTTGTAGAATCCACGAAGGGAGCGGAGCTGACAGTGCACCTTTCTTGATGAGCAGCGCGACGGAGCCGATGTGGTGGTCGGTGCGGAGGTCCACCTGCCACCAGCGCTGTTCGCCCGTGCGCGGCGTGTACGCGCACGTCTTGGGGTCGCCGTCGGCCGCCAGCCCCGCGCGGTAGTTCCATAGCGTCGCCGACATCAGCGCCGTCTGCTTCAAGGCCAGGTTCAGCTCTGCAACACGGAGAACAGGCCTCGCTCGCGCACGTTCGCTCACGCTCACACACGCTCACACACGCACATGCTCGCAGGCGCTCGCACACGCTCGCAGACGCCCGCCCGCCCGCCCCGAGGGAGCAGACGTGGACGCTCGTACAAAAATGGATTCGTTTTTACTCTTTAGGTTTGGACTGGCGGTTGGAATCGCTCAAAATAACCAGTTATAAACAAATGTACTTGACTAGAGAAGCGATGCAATTATTATTTGCAGACGAGTATAATAGAAATCAAACACAATTTTACACAATGCATGCAACGTATTTCTTTATCACAATTAATTTCTTTAATTTATCTCTTTAAGTGCATTCTGTTAACGCCCAGTTGGAGGCCGTGGCTCCGCCGGTCCCACACCGAATGCTTTTTTTGTGGGTGTATGCCGTCGCCCTGAAGACATCGCATTTGTAGTTTGGGATCGCATGTGGCAACTTTTCTTCTGTTTTTTTTAGAATAATTTTAGCCTATAATCTTAATATATACTATTTTATTGTATGTTCTAGTATATTTCCACAAAATAGTAATTAGACGGTATTAATAGGAAAACATGCTCCATTGTAAATTATTCTCTTCATTATTTATTAGTGATTCATTGATATTCTTACCGAGATTTGAATACTAAAGTTATGTTCATGAAGTCACTAGCCCGTTAAAAATGGATGCGTATTTCAAACAGTTTTTTTCGCCCGAGCATTCTTTATTCGCGTATAAATGCAAACGGGCCGTTACATTTTGTTAGCTATGGTGTCCACATATTTGTCGTGGTAGTGAACGCCAATGAATATATGGAATAAACCGTATATGAATACGACATTGCATGCAGATATTACAGAATTTTCGTGTCCTTTGAACAATTCTTCCCAGCATTCCTTAGAGCTCTTAACCGATAATACCAAAGACCGTAATAAACTCTACAGTAGTTTTCGAGTTTGGAAGAAGTACCGGACGCGGCTGTGGTGGCCACCACTCTTCGCTATAGCTGNGGGGGGGGGGTCACGTATGCGAAGAAGTATGCGAATCCCCTATCTTTCATCTAAACTATCATTCATTATTTCATAACTGCACACCAAAACTAAATATCAACACTTTGTGGTTAGTCTGTAAACATATTAAGGAATATTGCACTAAAAAAGAAAGAAATTTAAAGATGCTACGATTCCTTTTTCGCTTAGAGTTGGTACAAGTTTAGATAAGAATATGCTTTTTCGATGTAACAATCGAATTTTTACCGCTGATTAGTGCCATTTTTATCGCAGACAGTTTCCACTAATATTAATTGTGAGGCATATACATAACGAAAGAAAGCAAAGAGTTACTCAAACGAATGCTTCAGGAAAGCATTTATTATTATTATTATTATTATTATTATTATTATTATTATTATTATTATTATTATTATTATTTATTCAGATTGTGATAACACATAATAAACGTAAGGGCGTAATACCCTTGAAGACATTACTTCTTCCAAGTTATTTTCGCAAAGACATAGCCTGTGTGCAAACCTGTACAAAATCTTTCATGTAAAACTGAAAATTTTAAATTGAACATACTTTGAACGTATATAATAAATGGACAGAACATAAAGTTAACTATGCAACAACAATAATTACAAAGTAGTGACAAAAAGGTTTACAATTTACACAGCTTGTAAACATAAAGTAAAATCATTACACTAAATTAATCTTGATCATAAAGACTCTTACAATGCCATAATATTTTACAGAGTATCGAGAAACTATTGCACATATGCAACTGATTAAAGAATAAAACAACTATCAAATGATTTAAGAGATGGTAATGGAAACACACACATAAATGCAGAATGTAAAATTGTTAAATGTTTAATGATACAACAATAAATAATAACAATAATAACAGGCAAAGAACTAGCTTACAAAAAATGTAAGAATTGCAGATGTGTGGCTTGGCAGATTAATGATCTACGTTCTCATTGTTTTCGTATTTATTCAGCATTGCGCTGAATATTGACAAAAGTAGTAGGTATAGCAAGAAAGCGATAATACATAAGATACAGTATTAGCACAAAACTGGAGACACTTGGTGTCTCTGAGTCTGTAATAGATGCAAAATGGATGCAGAGTATGTAGGTGATTCTGTGCTTCCAATACCCACTGCCTTTCCGAGAAACCGTTCTGTACCTGTTCTGTATTATCTTCGCGCTATGAAATGTCTTGCTAATTTGGATACAAGACGGCCAGGATACTGAAGTATAAATCTAAAGTAAGATGGCGCACCATAAATTTTAGAGTTCATACACATCGAAATGTTACAAACAATTAAGCCAAAGAAAATGATGATGAAATATATTATTGTGATAAAATGCGTGGTGCAGAGGGAAATTTATCCTTTCAGAAGCACTAAATGAATGTTAAACACGAGAGTTAATTTGCATGGCATGTATAATTATCATTTGTTATGTTATTATCTGTATATTTATTTTTCGGTTAACTCCCCGGGGAGAGTCATCCATAGTCTATGGGTTTTTCGTGTGCGGCTCGTGGGCCGCTGTATGCCGCTGCTTCGGGATTTCCATGATCCTGGGCGTAACATAGGAAACAACCGCTGATCAGAGCAGGAAAACTACTAAAACAGTTTGAAAACAGTCCCAAAAGGGTCCAAAAAGTCGAAAATGTTTCACGCATCAAATAAATTTTCACCCGCCCGAAATCGAACCGCGATCTTTCAATACGCATGCCTCCCCCATTATTACTTCGCCATCAGGTTTGCGGCAATGATTTTATGCATGAAATAATCGAGAATTTGCTAAAAAATTTCACAGTTATTCTGGTATATAAAGAGCCATATACAGGTTCATTCGAATGCTAGAATTCATATTGTTAGCATAAAATTGGTTCAGTGCCAGGGGGCCATTTTGAGACGACTTTTTGTAACGTAAAGCCCCTCTATATTACTAATTTCCAATGCGCGTAGAAATTGAAAGAAACCAATGTAGCTTTCAGCCATGAGAAACAATGGCTTCGTTAGATGCCCAGGAAACTACGAACAATGAAACAGTTGCGATGCATATATTTGAATGTGTTAGTGCGAGTATCGAGTGATTTCTCAGTGCATCGCTGCTTCAACACAGCAGTCATGTGTCAGAAAGCCTCCTAGGAAGAAACCTCCGCCACTAAGTATTTGCTATT